GCTGATTTTGGTTGAATATTGAGGCTAATGCCTAACTTTGGCACATCTCTAAATGCTACTAAACGTTACAGAACCAAGACAATTATACTTTTATTCAGGTCTTCCTTAATCCTACCACATCATACTTATTGCCTACAGATAAAGATTTGCTCCTTTTCTATACTTCTTTCCCTAGACAGATTACTTATAGTTCCATTCTTTCATCTTTGGCCTTCTTTCTGTTTCTTCTCATTTTAATTCAGCAACATTTATGGAGTGCTTAAACTCTGAGTGCTTTGTATGGTATGCTTTTCAACCATGTGAAATCTTTAAAACTGCCTTTAAATCCCAACTCAAATGTCATTGCCTGAGGATTTTTCTCGGCCTCTTGAGTAGGGCCTTCTTACATCTGTATTGCCATATCATTTTCTACTTCCTTAGTTCATAGCACTCATTGCATTGTAACACAAGGAATGGTTTGAATCTATCTCCTTTGCCAAACTGTGAGCTCCTTGAATCTAAAAAGCACATCTTGTTCATTTTTGTGTCCCTAGAGAACTTTAGACAGTGCCTCAAGTAAGCAGGTACTTAGTATAAGGTAGTTAATATCATATATGCATTTTAATTTATAGGAATTTTACACTGCATGCCTAACAAAAAGAAATGATTGAAATAATCTGCAGTTTTACCTGCCATTCTTCCCAGTAAGTGGATAGCTAGGATTGGACATGAAGTAGAGAGTATGAATCTGTTGTTCCTTCAGTCAGTTTCTGTTCCCACATGCCTCTCAAAGTGAACATCTCACCAGGATTGAGTGTGGTATGGTGGTTTCTAACATAGTGATTTCCTAAGGATTTATCAAGGGCAATTTTGACTAGATTGACTTTCTCCATATGTACGCTAACTTTAGAACCTAACTCATTATAAAAGATAGGAATGCCACTATACAGTTTAACTAAATGAACATTCTGTCCTTACTCTGAGTTCCTGTAGTAGTTTGTTTTTATGACTCAAATGATATTTTTGCTCCTTAGTTCTTAGCTATTTGTTCATGTCTAATCTCACCCGTTGGAAAGCAAGGATCCTCTTTGTATTTGACATACTGGTTTTCACATGATATTCATTTTTAGAATAAATAGACATTTTAATGTGCTTTCATTGTGCTAAGGTCTAAGGAATAACCCAGAAGCCATATCCTTTAACTCAACCATCCAGTGGTCATCCCTTTACTTGATACCTTTTGCTAAATTTTCCCTCCCAATTATCACGTCTCTTTTTCCACAGCTCTTCCGACGTGTTGCAGCAGCTCTACCTGGAATGGAAAGCACACAGGACAGAAGCAGAGAAGACAGTATCCTTTTTGTTTCATCAGGAAATTTTATTGTTACTACAAGTCTTTAGAGCCCCACTTGGTTGGCTTAGGAATATTATGCCATTGCCTTTTACAGCCAAGAATTGATGGTTTAGGAGCAAAAAGTTTTTCTATAACGAATGAGATTTGGTTATCCAGTTGCATTCTTTGCAGGCTGCTGCTCACTACGATTAATCAGTGAGAAGGTTTGTGTTTGTTTGCTTGCTTGATTTTTAATGAGCAGGAAACTCTTAACGTCCCACCCTCCTGCTTCTTAATTTTGACATCCCTTGGCTCTGGGCTTTTTCCCTACAATATATATCATATTTCCTTCCCCTGCTTTTTCTATCATTTGAACTGTCTACTTGGCATAGGCAGGAGATAACTAAGTTTGGAGCTTTATCGTGGCCTCTTCTTTCAGAAATGGGACAGAATGAAGCACATGTAATATTAGTTATTTAAAAGAATTTTGAATTTTGATATTTTCCTTGTTTGTCTCATATTTACCTTCTAGTGTTTTTCCATATGCAGACAGTTTTATTAAGCCATAGAATTCATAGCACTTTGTATTCAGCTCTTCCCACTTCTGAATGTTTTATGTTTTCTAAGCCTTTATTTTAGCAGCATAATGTGTTCTATAGAGTTGAAGCCCCATTACTTATTAAATTCTCTCCCTGTTGTGGAACTCTCTTATAGGCTATTTTCAGATTTTTATTATAGATAATTTTTTAAGGAACATCATCTTTATATGATTTTTTACTCCTGTAGAATAATTTCCTTAGGATAGATTTCCATGAGTAGGAATTAACCTTATTCTGAACCTTGCTGCATATAGGAGATATAAGCAAGTTTATTCCATATGAGCACCTTATATGGTGAGCGGGCTATATAGAAAATAGTGGCTGAGTAGTCTCTGAAGCCAAATAGGAATGGAAGGGGATCTTAACAGAATTGTCGATGTTCAGCAGAATTGGAATTGTACTTTCCCATTTATAGTTCCTTAGCTTTTGTTTCAGTGATTGACATAAAACTGGAAAAGCCTCAGGAGCAACCAGTCAGCGAAGGAGGCTGTTCCTGCTAATCCCCCATGGCATCTTCAACTTTCCTCCAGAAGCTCACTGCTTTGGCCCCCTTACTCTTTCATTGACTGCAGTGTGAATATTGGCTTGAACCTTTTCCCTTCAGTAATAACGTATTGCAATTCAGCATTGCTGCCTGTCTCTTGGAGATGATCTATTAGCTTCACAAGCACAAAAAAGTCAGTGTCTTCATTATTTATATTTTACAAAAAGCCAAACAATTGCAGCATATTCCAGTGGTAACTTTAAAAATTAGATACATTTTCTTAACATTTTTGTTTCCTTTTTAATGTTATGAGAATGTACTTCAAAATGATGGAAATCTCAACAGTATGTGGCTTGGTTAAGGAGCAGTTTTTCACAGCAGCACTTGCCTACCTACTTGATCTCTCCCTGCTTTACTTGCTTGTTCTTTACCCCATTTCCTATTCCAGTCCTTCCTCCATCAAAACAAACAAGAGGGGGCAAAGCAGTAGTCAGACCAAGCCCATTGGAATTATCCTTCAGTTTTAGCAATACCACTTGCTCTCAAGATATCCAAAATTATTCTTAAGCACTGATATAAATTAGTTAGACCTTAATTGAGGTCAAAACTCAACTATCATGGTAGGCAGTGCTGGAATAAGGAAAGGGTTCTGGTGTGTCTTCAGAATGAGTCCTAATGAACATACTGAGTACTTACAAGTAAATGAACATAAAATATATTTCTGACCAAAACAAATGATTCTTTCACATGTTAGACTCCGGGAGAGAAAAGTAAAAGTGCTTCAGAACAGGTTTTAAATATTTAATTCTTCTAAGATCTATTTCTTCCAGGATTTTAAATTGGTCAAAATCGAGTTCTTCTGTTTGTTTAAAAAACAAAACTAAACTTTTTTAGGCAATAGATTTCTCTTGGGTTTTCTTTTTCTGTCTTCCTTTTCTTTCTTTCCTTCTTTCTTCCTTCCTTTTTTTCTTCCTTTTTTTTTTGAAATGCTGTGCAGGCAAGGCACTGTAGTAATCAAATTCCTTTAAGAAGAACCAGTGGAAGAATTTAAATTTGGCACTTTGATCGAAACTACTGTAACTAGTAGAAACAATGATATCTAAACCTTACCAACTAAAGAATCCTCAAGAGAATAGCAAATACTTTGCCCAGGACAATTGAGGTCAAATTGAAAGTGGAAACAGTTTTCTTATAAGCCCTAGAGGCAGATCTGAAAAAGCATACATAGAAGAGGGAAAGGAGAGAATGAAAATAAAACTTAATATGCAGATTTATGCCTTATTTTTCAGCATTTTTTTATGTTCTCTCAATCCAGTTTTGCTTTTTATTAGATCTGTATAGTTTGCTTAATTCACTAGTGATTTAATTTTATATTTAAGCTACAATTAATCTTTTTTCTTTGGTGATATTTATTTCTTTGCCTTTTTTAAAACTACTTTCAATTTTTAGATATTTTATTTAGAGCTTCATAACAATGGCAATATGTATTTCCCTTAAAACACTGCAAACAAATATACTAGGAGTGCACCATTTTAATCTTTACTAGTTATTGTGAGATTGCTGTGTAAGTTAATAAATACATTTGTAAATACATTGTTTGCAAGAAGAAAATTTCTGAGTTACAGCTCAGGAAAAGCCTGCTGAATTTATGTTGTAAGCATTACTTAACACAGTATAAGGATGAAAAGGCAACAAAAATATCTTCATACTTCCTCATCCCCTCATTGCAACAAAACCCTTAACTGGGAGAACCTTATTCCTTCCCCTCTTCCTCCTCCACTTCCCACTTATTGTCCAACCTTATAATATTCAGAGAGCACTTGGATTATGGGTCTGAATAGAGAAATGCTTTCAGATAATCATTAGCCCACATACCCCAGTAACTTGTACTCAAAGACGGGATGGAGTTGTAAAGTGCTTTTATAATACAATATTATTGTTAAAGGCAAGGGTTGACTCTTTTGTTTTATTTTGACATGGCATGTCCTGAAATAAATATCAATTCAATATGGCGATGGGTCATATTCTTTATTTGGAAGAAGTTGTGATTTCTGACATGGGGGTGATTGTGTTCCTACACTGTAGCATTTGATTCTTTTTAATGTATATTTAAGGCAGTAACCAGTTAATGCTGCTTTTAATATTGGTCTTTTTATTTAGCTGGGGTTCTTCAACCAAAGCAGTGAAGTGTGTTCATAGTGCATTCTTTTTTTAATAAACACAGTTTTGCTGCCCAAAAAATGTATAAATAAACACAAAAGAAAACATTTATTGACTTGGTTTCCCATTCCTGCCAAAGTGATGAATTACCATATGCTACTTCCTCCCTAGGACTATAAAGGGAATGTGGAATCCAGAAAAATAGCAAAACAACAACAAAACTGAGAAACCCCTGGGGAGTCACAAGACTCTTTTCAACTGTTGAGGGTGAGGGAAAGTGGCTGCAACTTGAAAGATAGGGCTGGGCTTCCCTGGTGGCGCAGTGGTTGAGAGTCCGCCTGCCGATGCAGGGGACACGGGTTCGTGCCCCGGTCCGGGAAGATCCCACATGCTGCGGAGTGTCTGGGCCCGTGAGCCATGTCCGCTGAGCCTGCACGTCCGGAGCCTGTGCTCCGCAATGGGAGAGGTCACAACAGTGAGACGCCCGCGTACCGCAAAAAAAAAAAAGAAAGATAGGGCCACTGGTGGAGGCAATAATAGGATGTGTTAAGAAAAGCAGTTTAAGTTCTGCTTATGCATCCTCACTCCTAACTCCACCTTTGCCTTTGGACAGGGGTGGCAAACTGCCCTCGCACCAAATCCACCCTGCTACCTGTTCTTAAGTTATGTTAGACCTCAGCCATACTTTCTCACTGCAAAGATGGAGTTGAGTAGTGGAAACAGGCCTTAGGGTAAACCACAGCTCTCCCCTGTACTATAGAAATGGAGGCCACAGCCCAGACTACAGGCTCAGGTATCCACAGCGGTAATGTCAGGGCAGTATAAAATCCCTGAGAGGGAATTTCCTGGTGGCTTAGTGATTAGGATTCCATGCTTTCACTGCCGTTGCCCCAAATTCAATCCCTGGTTGGGGAACTGAGATCCTGCAAGCCGCGCAGCGCAGAAAAAATATAAAAAATCCCTGAGAAGTGAGGAGCTGATGAAACTAGGTGGGGAATAACCTGCCTGCCTTAGGCCTTTCACTCACTCTTTACCCTTTCAAAGCATCAGTTAGTGGACTGTGATCTAGGGAGACTGCCTCCTGCAAGAGCTGCTTCTTCCTAAACTGGGTTTAAAGGTAAGGCCTTGAAATAAAGTTTGGTGAGATGATACTGAATGGGAACAATACATGTGGTCTTGTGGTACCTAGAACTCTGTCCCAAGGTTTGTCCTTTCCCCATCTTAAAACTTGACATTCTGGTCTTTGACCCTTGCCCAGTAAACCATCCCAGAGTTATAACCCATACCCCAGGAGAATTTGGACTCAAGTCAGAGCAGTTGGATACCTGAAAACTTCCTCAAAAGAAAAAGTGAATACCATTTGAAGCAGAACTACTTGAAAAGACAACCAATAATTTAAAGATGGCATGATAAATATTGAAGAGGTAAAATACTACCAGTATGGAACAAGAATCATAAAATGAATATATTAAGTGAAAAATATAATAGTTGAAATAAAAAACACAGGTAAGTAGTAGACTGGATTCTATTCATTGAATTAGTGAGAACATTCAATTGAACTCTTTCATTAGAAAGCAAAGAAACAGAAAAATAAAGATTAGGAGGAGAATAGTATATATAGCAACATTCAGAAATTCCAGGGAGATGAAAATCAGGAAAATTAAAGTACTGAAAACAAAGAATTTTGAAGATAGTATTTGTGACAGGCATATGTGTATCTTCTGAATGCAGTTTCTGAAATGGTATCTGCCTCCTGGTACTCATACATTTGCATTATCCTTTTCCCTTGAATATAGGCTGCACCTGGTGACTTTCATCTAAGAAATAGGACACAGCAAAAGTTACATCACTTTGAAGGTTAGATTATGAAAGACTGTGGCTTTTGTCTTGTTCACACAATCTGACTCATTTGCTTTTATGCAGCAATCTGCCATGTTTGAGCTGCCTGTAGAGAGGCCCAGCAGCAAGGAGCTGAGGGCAGCCTCCAGCCAATGAGGGACTGAGTTTCTTCTTAATAAGACAGCCTGGAAAGAACTGAACAAAAAACAAGCCACAGACAAAATATTTGTCGATTGCATGCTTGATAAAGACAAGTATTCAGAGTATATGAAGAACTCTCATAACTTGATAGAAAAGACATAGAAATTGCTTGATATCATTAGTCATTATAGAAATGCAAATTAAAACCACAATGAAATACTACTACATACATATCAGAAAGGCTAAAATTTGAAAGATTGGCCGTACGAAGTGTAGGTAAAGATGAGGAGCAACTAGGAATTCTCATACACAGCTACATGAGATTTTGGAAAAACAGTTTGGAAGTTTCTTTAAAAGTTAAATATACATTTATATATAGTAGCTATTCCACACCTAAGTATTTACCCACAAGAAATGAAAGCATGTGTCTATACAAAGACTTGCACACAAATGTTCATAGCAGTTTTACTTGTATTAGCCAAGAACTTGAAATAACCCAAATGTCCATCAGAAGGTGACTATGTAAACAAATCATGGTACATGCTTACTGTGGAATAGTATGCCATAAATCAGAATGAACTGTTGATACCAACAACATACCTGAATATCAGAAAATTACCCTTCGTGAAAAAAGTTGGACAAAAAATGTAAAGTATATATTTTATGTTTTCACGTATATAAAATTCTAAGAAATGCAAACTAAACAATAACCCTCCTTTTCTCCCTTTCTCCAGTCCCTGGTAACCTTTATTCTGCTATCCGTCTCTATGAATTTGCCTATTCTAGGTACCACATATAACTGGAGTCATACAGTATTTGTCCTTTTGTGTCTGACTTCCTTCACTCAGCATGATGTTTTCAGTGTTCATCCATATTGTAACAGGTATCAGATTTGATTCCTTTTTGTGGCTGAATGATATTCCATTGTATGTATATACAATATTTTGTTTATTCATTCATCTGTTGATGGATACTTGTGTTGTTTCTATCTTTGGGCTATTTTAAATAATGCTGTTATGAACATTAGTGTACCAGCATCTGAGTCCCTGTTTTCAATTATTAGTGTATAACCTAGGAGTAGAATTGCTGGATCAAGTGATAACTTTTTGAAGAAATGCTAAACTGCTTTCCACAGCATCTGCACCATTTTACATTATCACCAGCAATGCATGAGGGTTCTAACTTCTCAACATCCTCATCAATACTTTTTATGTTCTGATTTTTTTAATAATAGCCATCCTAATGGGCGTGTAGTGATATCTATCTCATTGTGGTTTTGATTTACATTTCCTTAATGACTAATGATGTTGAACATCTTGTTTACTTGGCATTTGTATATATTCTTTGGAGGATGTCTATTTTGTTAAGTTCCTTGCAGGCTGTTTTACTGAGAAACTTTGGAGATATGTCTGTTCAGTCCTTTAACCATTTTTAAATTGGATTGTTTATTTTTTGTTGTTATAGAAGTTCTTCATATAGTCTAGTTATTAATTCTTTGATAGATACATGGATTTACAAATATTTCCTCCATTCTGTGGGTTTTCTTTTCACTCTAAGAGTGTCCTTTGGTGCACAAAAGTTTTAAATTTTAATCAAGTCCAATTATCTTTTTCCGTTTTTGCTTATGCTTTTGGTGTCATATTGGAGAAATCATTGCCAAATCCGATGTCGTGAACACTTTTTGCCATGTTATTCTAACAGTTTTATAGTTTTAGCTCTTAAGCTTAGGTCTTTGATCCATTTTGAGTTACTTTTGTAAATGGCATAAGGTAGGGGTCCAACTTCTTTTGCATATGGATATTGTTTTCCTAGCAACATTTGTTGAAGACTGTCCTTTCCTCATTGAATGGTCTTAACACTCTTGTTGAAAATCAACTGACCATATACGTGAGGATTTATTTCTGGATTATCTTTTCTGTGCCATCTGTCTATGTGTCTGTCCTTATGCCATTACTACACTGTTTTCATTACTGTAGCTTTGTGGTAAGTTTTGAAGTCGGAAGTGTGAGTCTTGCTGCTTTGTTCTGATCACTTTGGGTAGTTTGTCATCTTAATATTAAGTCTTCCAATCCATAAACACAGGATGTCTTTCTGTATTAGTCTATCCGGGCTGCTATAACAAAATAACACAGACTGGGCAACTTATAAAGAACAGAAAATTTATTGCACAGTTCTGAAGACTTGGAAGTCCAAGATCAAGGCACCAGCACAGTCACCTGGTGAGGACCCTCTTCCCAGTTTGTTGCGAGCACCTTCTTGCTGTGTCCTCAGAGGGTGGAAGGGCTGAGGGATCTCTCTGGAGCCCCTTTTATAAAGGCACTAATCCCTTTCATGAAGGCTTCACCCTCATGATTTAAGCACCTCCCAAAGCCTACTTACTAACACCATCATCTTTTGGAGGATTCAGTATGTAAATTTTGGGGGGACACAAACATTCAGACCATGCATTCTGCCCCTGCCCACTCAAAATTCATGTCTTTCTCACATGAAAAATACATTCATTCCATCCCAGTAACCCCAAAAGTCTTAAACCTGTTCCAGTGTCAATTCAAAAGTCTAAGTCGAAATTCTCATCTAAATTAGATATGGGTGTTGACCTAAAACAAATAGACTCCAGGTTATTTCTCCAGCAAATAGGGGTTTATTCAGAATCAGTGGAGAATTGCAGTTTGGGGTCTGCAACCATGGCAAGTCCCTGCAAGGCAAGGAAAGGAGAATGCTTTTATAGAGGGGAAAAGGAAGTTGGGAGGACTATGAACAAAGCCCATGACTTTTCATTGGCTGAGTCCTTGCCAGGAAGGAAGACTAGTCTGTCTGCTTGTTGGGCTCTGCTGTCATTGCATGGTTTGAGAGCTCCCTCTTCTGGTCTCCTGACTATTTAATTGAAGCTTCCGTTTATTAATTTTTTTAAAGTCTTTATTGAATTTGTTACAACATTGCTTCTGTTTTATGTGGGGGGTTTTTGGCCACGAGGTATGTGGGATCTTAGCTCCCTGACCAGGGGTGGAACCTGCACCCCCCGCATAAGAAGGCGAAGTCTTAACCACTGGACCACCAGGGAAGTCCCTATTAATTTTTTAGATGGGTGAGATTCGGTAGATTCAGCTTATGGCAATTGGTTTCCAGCTATGAATCCATGAAGTCAAACAAGTTATGTGCTTCCAAAATACAATGGTGGGACAGGCGTAGCATAGATGTTCCTATTCCAAAAAGGAGAAATAGAGAAGAAAAAAGGGATAAGAGGTCCCACGCAAGTCCAAAACCTTAAGGCACACTGGGGCAGGGACCTGCACTTTGGACTAATGGGTGGCCCCACCCCAGCCCTCATGGGTTGGAGTCCCGTGCCTGTGGCTCGAGAGGTGGAATCTCATGCCAGTGGCTCTACCAGTTTGGGGGTTTGAGGGTAGTCGCATCCCCACAACTCTGCTGGGCCTTGCTCTAACAGGAGCTCTCTACTGTACCCAAAAGCGGCCCTCTGTGTTGCACATCAGAGGCTCCAAAACAGTCCATCCTTTAGAATCTGGGTGGAGGTAGCCACATCTGGTGCTGAGGACACTGACAAGATTTACTACCTGTGCCCTCTGGAAGGACCATCGCCATGGCCTGCACTACACCTGGGGTAGCTGAGGTGCCAGGTACCAGAATTTGGGGAGGGGGGAGCAGAGCCTGGGATGTGAGAGAGTGCCAGGCAGCAGAAGCTTCTCCTTTGAAATTGTTCTGCCCCACATGCCCTTTCAGTTTGGGACTGTGATGGGAGTGCCTTCAGGGTCATTCTTCTATTGTCTTGGATAATAGGTCCTGTCTTCTTTTAGATGACCAAGCAATCTCCCCATTGTCTTGAATAGCTCCCAGCTTCTGTTGGAGTGGTAGATCCATACCAATCTTCTTATCAGATCCTGCCACACACTTTGCATTCTCTCTCAAATGAGTTTTCTTATTTCTTTCAATATGGATAGGCTGAGAATTTTTCGAGTTTTAAATTTCTGCTTTCCCTTTCATTAAGAATTCTACCTTTAAATGATTTCTTTCTTCTCACATGTTAAAAAAGAAACAACAGACCCAAAATGGAGTCACTTGTGCTAAACCCCGTGTCAACAAACCAAGACTTAATACCTAACCTAATTGCAGTTTCAGCCTCTCCCTGGAATGTGACCTTTAACCACTTGACTTTGAATTACCTGGTCAGCACTAGTGAGATAACCCACCCAATAGATCCCATCTGACCCCATAGGAAGGTCACCGTGCCTAAAACATTGTTCTTTGCTAGAAACTTCCTTTTCCCATTCCCTGCTGCCTGTAAAAGCCTTCAATTTTATACAGCTCCTCAGAGTTCCTTTCTATCTGCTAGATGGGATGCTACCCAATTCATGAATCATTGAATAAAACCAATTAGATCTTCAAATTTACTCAGCTGAATTTTGTTTTTTAACAGATGTGGTGGCAGCAATTGGACTGAGGAAGGGCGCTTCTGATGGCTTTAGGGACATAAAGAAACACAGGCATACCCACGAACCCTTTTGAGGTCTCCTTCTCGCCATTTCTGAAGATTGTGGGTAAGTTCCCCTCAGTTCTGAGCTCTGCTCTCTTTCCATCGAGCTCCCAATCTAATTGGCTTTCCACTGTTCCCCATTTTGAGTGGAAAACCCCAGGATTTGGTTGTATTCCCAGATTCCACATCAGGGACTATTGATGGTTTCTGGCCAGAGTCACACTGGGTCTGACTTAAAAACCAGACTGGATCCAGGCTTAAACTGGACTGGGTCCATTGTGTTTTGTGTAGGTAAAGGCTATTGCTAATGGAAATCTTGGAAGCAGCCACAAAATTGGTGGGCATGCGTTGAGCATGTAAAAGCTAATAGAGCACTTGCCACCGACCCAAAGACTCCTTTGTTAGGATAAACTGGTTATGGAACAGGTTAGACTGACACTAGGCCACCTGCCAACCTCAAGAAAATTTCCATGCAACAAGGTACACTGTAAAACATCACACAATTCCCAATTCAGCTGCACATCCCTTTCAAGTATTAGTTTAGGGGACTTCCCGGGTGGTGCAGTGGTTAAGACTCCGTGCTCCCAATGCAGGGGCCCGGGTTCAATCCCTGGTCAGGGAACTAGATCCCACATGCATGCCACAACTAAGAGTTCACATACCACAACTAAGGAGCATATGAGCCACAACTAAGACCCGGCACAACCAAATTAAAGAAAAAAAAGTATTAGTTTGGGTCCAAGAGACCCAAAATCTTAGCTAATTAATTATTTAATAAAAATGGGATCTTTAAATTCCAAAGTGTTGAGCACACCACCTTCCAGCACAACTGCTTAGTTTATGTCTAAGAACTATGGTCCCGCAAGCCATAGATATCTACAAAAAAAGCAAAAATCTTATTGAAAACAACCTAGAATTACAAAGTCCATTATTACAAATGTTCCAATTCAATAAGATCATTTAAGGGACTTCCCTGGAGGTCCAGTGGCTAGAACTCCACACTGCTTCCACTGCAGAGGGCACAGGTTTGATCCCTGGTTGGGGAACTAAGATCCTGCATGATGCAGCCTTAAAAAAAAAAAACAAGCAAGACTGTAAACAAAATCTGCCAAGATAGTAGCCTTGCTGAAGGCCCCATATCTACCCTCGAAGGAGGGCCCCCAAATGGGCCCCTCCCTGAGTTGACAAGACTCTGAGGGATTTTTCTGATAAACTTCTACATTAATCTCTTAAACAGCGAAAATTTTTAAATTAAATTAATGAAGAATCTTGCCAAATTCTGATAGATACCAGAGTGTACAGAGTGGCTCCTAGGAAAACTGGCAGAAGCCAGCAAAGAGTGAGAATTCTTACCAGATCAGCTCTCCCAAATCTCTGTCTGTGGTACCTGGTTGAGAGAGGAGAATTAAATTTTACGCTGTCCCTTGCTTTCCAAATCCAGACCCATTTGTTATTGATTCTTTCTCTTCCAGGGATAGGTTTGTTTTTGTTTTTGTTTTTTTGGGCCGTGCCACACAGCTTGCAAGATCTTAGTTCCCCAACCAGGGATTGAACCCGGGTCCATGGCAGTGAAAGCACTGTGTCCTAACCACTGAACTGCCAGGGAAGTCCCTCCCAGGGATAGTTATTGCCTTCTTGCTTATCTTGTCTTGAGTCTTAAGAACTTGGCCTGGCTTTCTGCCTGCCTCGTACATACAGGTTGTCAGTTCCTTCTTTTGGCTACTTCTTTTTTTTTTTTTTTTTGTCTTTTTTTGGGGGGGTCTTGGGTTTTGGGGAGGGGGTTTCCTTTTTTACCCTTTTTGATTCCGCTTACATCCAAGGAGGGGTTGTTCAATACTACCAGAAATATTTACTGTTTGTCCCAGCTAGAAACTAACAAGATATTTAAGAGAGTTTTTTAGGCCTTCTCCCTTAAGCTAAAATAAAACTATGTAAACAGTGGGAAAGAAAAGCCTTAAATTTTAAAGCCTTGTGGAAGGATTTACTAAAACATTCCAAAGACACAGAGCTCTAATCCAGAACATAGAAATCTTTTGATTTACATCTAAGCTGGAAATCTTCCTGATACATAAAAAAGCAAACAGAATTCCCTGGCAGTCCAGTGGTTAGGACTGGGCACTTTCACTGTCGAGGGCCCAAGTTTGATCCCTGGTCAGGGAACTAAGATCCCACAAGCCATGCAGCATGGCCAACAAAAAAAAATAAAAATAAAAAAGCAAATTGAAGCTAATGTGGTTGTGTGGGTGGACCAACTTATGATGTCATTTAAATTGCAATGCGATTCCTTAATAAACTAAAAGCAACTGTCCTTATCTTACAGATCTTTACAAAAACAAAAATTTGGCTCGGGAAACAATTCACTGTTTCCTTTTTAACAATTAACCTTGCCTATTCATCTCAAAAGACTTGTAACTATGGTAAAAATTCTGGCCTTAGGGAACAAAAGTCCTTCCTGGAGGAGCTTGCATTTTGTTCTACCTGGTCCCCTCAGGGGTTTTGGGGGGGTTTTTTTTGTTTTTTGTTTTTGTTTTTGTGTGTGTGTGTGTGTGGTACGCGGGCCTCTCACTGTTGTGGCCTCTCCCGTTGCGGAGCACAGGCTCCGGACGCACAGGCTCAGCAGCCATGGCTCACGGGCCCAGCCGCTCCGCGGCATGTGGGATCTTCCCGGACCAGGGCACGAACCCGTGTGCCCTGCATCGGCAGGCGGACTCTCAACCACTGCGCCACCAGGGAAGCCCTGTTTTTTTTTTTTTTTTTAATATAAATTTATTTATTTATTTATTTATGGCTGTGTTGGGTCTTCATTGCTGCACACAGGCTTTCTCTAGTTGCAGCAAGCGGGGGCTACTCTTTGTTGCAGTGTGCAGGCTTCTCATTGCGGTGGCTTCTCTTGTTGTGGAACACAGGCTCTAGGCACGCAGGCTTCAGTAGTTGTGGCACGTGGGCTCAGTAGTTATGGCTCATGGGCTCTAGAGTATAGGCTCAGTAGTTGTGGCAAATGGGCTTAGTTGCTCCGTGGCATGTGGGATCTTCCTGGACCAGGGCTTGAACCTGTGTCCCTTGCCTTGCCAGGCAGATTATTAACCACTACACCACCAGGGAAGTCCCAGCTCCCCTGAATTTATATCTTCAAGTTAGAAAGGACCTACCAGGAGGCATTCATGATTCAGGATTTATGTCAAAATATTGGCTCCCTGTATACCAATGCCAAAATGAGATACGGAGACAGAGTTTTGGAGGAAAAAGAAAGGGTGGCTTTATTCTTTGCCAGGCAAAAAGGGAATACAGCAGGCTAGCGCCTCAAGAAATGTGCCTCCCCCCGCTGGGGAATAGGGAGAGGTCTTATAGTCGGGTCTTATGGTCAGGGGTATGGGGTAAGGATCAAGGCAGTAACAGTCTTGCATTCTTCTTCTGCAAAGTTTCAAAAGGGTGGGGTTGCTGATAAGATTAGGGTATGTGCAGGGTCTCAGGTGGTCAAGGTCTCCTAATCTTGATGAGCTTCTCTGGTCCCTTTATTCTTGCCTCAGGTGGTTTCCTGACTGCTTCTCCCGTGATTAGCAACTGTTCCAAATCTGCCCTTTGGAACTCAGGGAAGGTCATGGAAGCCAGAGTCTTGCCTACAAGAAATGGGAGACAAAAAGGCCTCCATGCCCAGGAGCCCCACAGGGCCCCCGCTCGGTTTCAGGATTTGCTTCCTTTGGCAGAGCCCTAATTCCTAATTAAGAGTAAATGCAAATAAGGCTATGATAAGGAACCTCTCCTTAACAATGAACATATTGCAGAATCTGCTGCTAAAACAATAGCTGTCCAACAAAAATCAAACTCTGGCTGAAGTTGTCCTTGATAATAGGATAGACTGATTATTTTTTAGCTGAACAAGGAGGTGTTTGTGCTATGGTTAGCACTACTTGCTGCACCTGGATTAACAATTCTGGGTAAATTAAAACTCAGCTACATAAGATTACCGAACAAGCCTCTTGGCTTCAGAAAGTGATTTCTTCAAGTGATCTTTCTTTGACTTTTAAATTTTGATTTGTTTGGGTCTTGGGGACCATGGCTCCAAAGTGCACTCCAAACATTGGGAATTATCCTGAACATAATAATTATAGTAGTCCTCCTGGTGTGCTGTATTCTCTCAAAAGCTTTAAATGCACGTTTGCAGCCACCTACAACCAAGCAAATGATCTCCCTAAGACTGGAATGCCAGAAAAAGAATGAAGAAAATGACTGGCTAAAAACTGAGCCTGGTGACTTTCCTAGTGGTCTAGTGATTAAGACTGTTTCCACTGCAGGGGGCACGGGTTCGATCCCTGGTTGGGGAACTAAGATCCTGAATGCTGTGCAGTGTGGCCAAAAAAAAAAAAAAAAAAGACCTGTGAATATACACAAAGGCTCAATAAAAGCTACAAGACTACAGAATGGTAGCTAGGAATGATGCTAATACCTTAAATTTTGATCGTATCTCTCAGGCTAAAAGTCTGATCAAAAGGGATGGATTGTTAAAAAAGAAACAACAGACCCAAAATGGAGTCACTTGTGCTAAGCCGTGTGTCAGAAAACCAAGACTTAATACCTAACCTAATTGGAGTTTCAGCCTCTCCCTGGAATATGACCTTTAACCAGTCAATCTGGAATTACCTGGCCAGCACTAGTAAGGTAATCCACGCAATAGACCCTATCTGTCCCCCCTAGGAAGTCACCTTGCCTGAAACAATCCATTTTTTGCTAGAAACTTCTTTTCCTGCCCTCTTCTGTATGTAAAAAAGCCTTCCATTTTGTATAGCTCAGAGGTTCTTTCTATCTGCTAGGTGAGATGCTGCCCAATTTATGAGTTGTTGAATAAAGCCAATTCATTTTTTGTTTTTTTGTGCGGTTTTTTTTTGGCCATGCCATGTGGCTTGCCAGATCTTAGTTCCCTGACCAGGGATTAAACCTGGGCCCTAGCAGTGAAAGTGCCGAGTCCTAACCACTGGACCACCAAGGAATTCCCAAGCCAATTAGATTTTCAAATTTACTCAGTTGAATTTTGTTTCTTAATACACATTTTATCATAAGCATTCAAGAGAAGCCAGGCTGTTCCTTCAACATTTTGCTTTAGAAATTTCTTCAGCCAGACAACAATTTCATCACTTACAAGTTCTACCTTTTACAAAAAACTAGGACACGAACACAGTTCATCCAAGCTCTTTGCCACTTCATAATAAGGATTGCCTTTTCTTCTGTTTCCAGTAACACATTCCTTATTTCCAACTGAGACCTCATTAGAATGGTCTTTCCCATCCATATTTCTACCAATATTCTGGTCACAACCACTTAAGTATCCTCTAAAAAGATTGAGGCCCTCTTTACAGCTCTCCTCTTCTCCTTCTGAGCCCTCATGAGAATTGCCCTTAACAGTCATTCATGACAATATAGGCTTTTTCTAGCATGTACCTCCAAATTCTTCCAACCTCTGCCCATACCCAATTCCAAAGCTGCTTCCATATTTCTAGGTATTTGTTATGACAGCAATCCCACATCTCGGTATTAATTTCTCTTAGTCTGTTTAGGCTGCTATAAAAAGATACCACAGACTGGGTAGCTTATAAACAGCAGAAATTTATTGATCACAGTTCTGGAGACTGGAAGTCTGACAAGATCAGCGTGCCAGCATAGTTTGTTGGATGAGGGCCCTCTTTTGGGTCACAGACTTCTTGTAGTATCTTCACATGGCAGAAGGGGCTAGAGATCTCTCTGGAACGTCTTTTATCAAGGCACTAATACCATTCATAAGGGTTCTGCCCTCATGATTTAAGTACCTCCCAAAGCCCCATCTATTAATACCATCACCTTTAGGGGATTAGGATTTCTTTATTTTTTTAACTATTAAACAATTTTTATAGTTTACTTTTTTAATTGAAGTATAGTTGATTTTCAATGTTGTGTTAGTTTCTCATGGGATTTTATTTTTTAATTTATTTTTTAAATGATTATTTCTTTTATATATTTATTTATTTATTTTGTTGCACTGGGTCTTAGTTGAAGTAGGCGGGCTCCTTAGTTGCGGCATGTAGGCTCCTTAGTTGTGGCATGCAAACTCTTAGTTGTGGCATGCATGTGGGATCTAGTTCCCTGACCAGGGATTGAACCTGGGCCCCCTGCATTGGGAGCGTGGAGTCTTAACCACTGCGCTACCAGGGAAGTCGCTCATGGGATTTTAATGTATGAAATTTGGGGAATACAAACATTCAGACCATAGAACTTTGCATTTATTTATATCTTAATTCTTTTCAGCAATGATTGATTGGTTGATTGATTGGCCATGCCATATAGCATGTGGGATCTTAGTTCCCTAACTAGGGATTGAACCCACACCCCCTGCACTGGAAGCACAGAGTCTTAACCACTGGATCACCAGGGAGGTCCCCTCAGCAATGGTTTAGGTCTCAGCATACAAGTGTTTCACCTCCTTGGTTAGGTTTATTCCTAAATATTTTATTCTTCTTTATATTATTGTAAGTGGAATTTTTCCCCTTAATTTCCTTTTCATATTGTTTAGTGCTAGTGTATAAAATGCAACTGATTTCTGTGTTGACTTTTGTATCCTGAAACTTTGCTAAATTTGTTTATTAACATTTTTGTGTGTGTATGGAATATATAGGGTTTTCTACATTTAAGATCATGTCATCTGTGAATAGAGATGATTTTACTTCTTCCTTTCCAATTTGGATGGCTTTTATTTCTTTTTCTTGTCTAATTGCTCTGGCTAAAACTTCCAGTAGAAGTGACAAAACTTGGCATGCTGTCTCATTTCTGATCTTAGGGGAAAGCTTTTTAGTTCTTTCACTATTGAGTATAATATTTGCTCTTGGTCATCCAATTTGTTGGCATACAACTGTTCATAATATTCTCTTATAATCCTTTTTATTTCTGTATAATTGGTAGTAATGTCTTCACTTTTATTTCCAATTTTAGTCATTTTAGTCTTCTCTTTTTTTTTGTCTTTTTTTTTTCCCTTAGCTGAAGTTTGTCGATTTTATTGATCTTTTCAAAGAACTGACTTGTGGTTTCATTGAATTTCTCTATTTTCTTTTCTTTTCTCTATTTCACTTATCTCTGCTTTAATCTTTGTTATTTCCTTCCTTCTACCAGCTTTGTGTTTAGTTTGTTCTTCTAATTCCTTAAGGTGTCCAGGTAGGTTACTGAGATCTTTCTTCTTTTTAATGTATGCATTTATAGGTATAAATCTCTCTCACAGAACTGCTGTCAATTTCCTGATATACTGACTCTTTATCTTTATAAAATGCCCCTCTTTATTTTTTTTTTATAAATTTATTTTATTTATTTATTTTTGGCTGCATTGGGTCTTTGTTGCTGTGTGCGGGCTTTCTCAAGTTGCGAGTGGGGCCTACTCTTTGTTGTGGTGTGCGAGCTTCTCATTGCAGTGGCTTCTCTTGTTGCAGAGCACAGGCTCTAGGTGCACACGCTTCAGCAGTTGTGGCTCACAGGCTCTAGAGCACAGGCTCAGTAGTTGTGATGCATGGGCTTAGTTGCTCTGTGGCATGTGGGATCTTCCCAGACCAGGGCTTGAACCCATGTCCCCTGCATTGGCAGGCAGATTCTTAACCACTGCGCCACCAGGGAAGCCCATCCATTGTATATATGTGCCATATCTTCTTTATCCATTCTTGTATCAATGGACATTTAGGTTGCTTCCATGTCTTGGCTATTGTAAACAGCACTGCAATGAACATTGGGGTCCATGTATTCTTTGGGACCATGTTTTTCTCTGGGTATATGCCCAAGAGTGGGATTGCAGGATCATGTGGTAGCTCTAGTTTTAGTTTCTTAAGGAACGTCCATACTGTTTTCCATAGTGGCTGCACCAATTTACATTCCCACCAACAGTGTAGGAGGGTTCCCTTATTTCCACACCCTCTCCAGCATTTATTGTTTGTGGATCTTTTTTATTTTTTTAAGCCTCACAGCATGTGGGATCCTAGTTCAAACCCATGCCACCTGCATTAGAAGCACGGAGTCTTAACCACTGGACCACCAGGGAAGTACCTGTTTGTGGATTTTTTGATGATAGCCATTCTGACTGGTGTGAGGTAATATCTCATTGTAGTTTTTTTTTGGCTCCATTGGGTCTTTGTTGCTCTAGTTGCAGTGAATGGGGGCTACTCTTCGTTGCAGCGTAGGCTTCTCATTGCAGTGGCTTCTCTTGTTGCGGAGCATGGGCTCTGGGCACGTGGGCTTCAGTAGTTGTAGCACGCAGGCCCAGTAGTTGTGGCTCGCGAGCTCTAGAGCACAGGCTCAGTAGTTGTGGCACATGGGCTTAGTTGCTCCGCGGCATGTGGGGTCTTCCTGGACCAGGGCTCGAACCTGTGTCCCCTGCATTGGCAGGCGGATTCTTAACCACTGTGCCAGGGAAGTCCCTGATGCTTACTCTATGTGGCATATCTCTTTCTTTCTTTCCTTTCTTTCTTTCTTTCTTTCTTTCTCTCTCTCTCTCTCTCTCTCCCTCTCTCCCTCTCTCCCTCTCTCTCTTTCTTTCTTTCCCTTTCTTTCCTTCCTTCCTTTTCTTTCTTTCTTTCTTTTCTTTTTTTTCTTTTCTTTCCTCTCTTTCTTTCTCTCTTTCTTTATTTTTTTCCCGGCCATGCCACACAACTTGCGGGATCTTAATTCCCCGACCAGGGATCAAACCCAGGCCCTGGCAGTGAAAGTGCTGAGTCCTAACTACTGGACTGCCAGGGAATTCCCTGGCATATCTTTTTCTGTTCTTCTACTATCAACCTACTTGCACATTTTGAAGTGTATCTTTTGTATAAAGTTATATAGTTGGGTCTTGCTTGTTTGTTTATTCTGACAATCTCTGTCTCTTAATTTATGCTTTTTGTCTACTTACCATTAATGTAATAATTAGTATGTTTGGATATAGGTCTGCCATTTTGGTGTTTGTTTTCTTTGCTTCATCTGTTTTTAAATTCCTTTATTGGCTTATTTATTTATTTACTTTCTTAGAAATATTTACTTATTTGGCCATGCTGGGTCTTAGTTGTGGCATGTGGGATCTTTTTACTTGCAGCATGCAGACTCTTAGTTGCAGCATGCGGACTCTAGTTGTGGCATGAGGACTCTTATTTGTGGCATGAGAACTCTTAATTGCAGCATGCCTGCGGGATCTAGTTCCCCGACCAGGGATTGAACCCAGGCCCCCTGCATTGGGAGCTTGGAGTCTTACACACTGGACCGCTAGGAAAGTCCCTCCTTTACTGGCTTTTTTAGCTTAACCTCTTTATATTTTCATTGGTTGCTCTAGGAATTCTAATGTGCATCTTTGACTTATCAGCATATACTTAATATTGTACACTTCACATAAGGAAAAGGAAACTTGTCATAGTTTAACTCTGTTTTCCCACTTCCCCCCACTCCCCTTGTCCTCTCAGCAATTTTTTTGATTCACTCATGATTTTGCATATACTTAATGGATAATTAATTCTCACTGAATAGTATTCCATCTTGTGAATGGAATATATCAATGGATCCACCTAGTCTAGAGCTTGAGCTTTTGCTTTTATTACACTCTTGTACCTATTATTTTTGGGGTGAACATATGTACCCATTTTTGTTGAGGGTACCTAGGAGTAGAATTGATGGGTTAAGAGGTATGCATATGTGTGAGTTAACTGATCAGTTTCCAAAGCAGTTGTACCAGTTTACCCTTAAACGAGATGTCTAATTGTTTCACATCAGTACTTAATGTTCTCTATTTTATCTTTAGCCATTTAGTTGGGTGTGTAGTGATATCACATTTTAATTAAAAACTTTTAAAAACCACTGTGCTGACCAGACAAAACAATATGTGGGCCAGATGTGGTCCATAGGCCACCTCCAGATTAAACTGTGTTGTCTGTGAGAATTAATGTTTGTCTTAATATGTGTGTGAATAATTTAATAATTGTCTAGTGAACAGCTGGAAGATAAAAAATTCATGCTGCAACCATCAGTGGAGAGATTTTGAAGCAAACTGCACCTGGAGCATCGATTTGCTTCTTTCTTGCCCTGTTTGGTGGGGTGAGTGGAAATAACCATGGTATCATCAGGACCATGATAAATGTAGCCCTAAGACCATAGATGCTCAGAGAAAAGAGCCCTTAACCCAGCTGTGGGAGGTTCTCTATAAACTGGTCCATCCACTACCACTCCTCACCATGCAACTTGCTGTGACATGAGACTGTTTCCTGAACTTCACAGTGCTCTCAAGACCAAAATGTTTTTAGGCCTCTGTTCATGCCATTTCTTCCATCTGTTCTTTCTCCTTTCTCTGTTTGACAAACTCCTACTCATCCTTCAAGGCTCACCCTAAATTTTCACTTCCTGTCCCAAAGCTTTCCTCAGCCCCCTTGGCACAGTTGGATACCTCTTCCTCAGAGCTCCCACTGCACCATGTTCCTATCGAAGTTCACTAAATTATTGCTTTTTGTTTATGTATCCCTCTAAGTTGGTGTCTGGGAATGTGGCTGAGGTGGATACCTGATATTTTTGCCACCCAGCTCTCACCTAGTCATCCTACTTCTGGGAACAGTGCCCTTAATTTCTTTTGGGACACTACCCCACCCCTGCTCTAAGCTCTGTTATTTTAGACCATCTTTTCCAGATCACAGTAGATTCAGAGATGGCCACAAGACCCAATTCAGGCTAATGTGCAACAGTTTGAATAAAAGTTCATGCCAGGACTTTTATTCATACTGTTGGAGGAAGAGAGGCTCTCTTGGCTAGACTTGAACCAAGGAGGGCATTAGTCTAGAGCTGCTGAATATCACTGCAACCTCTGAGCCAGCCCAGTGGCTGTAAAGATGGAAACAAAGCAAAGTCTAAGTGATAATATTTGAGTCCCTGGACCAAGCAGTTTCTGGACTTCTCAGGTATGTGGCCCAATATTTTCCCTTCTTGGGATTAAATCAGTTTGAGCATGGGGGTTCCTGTTACTTGCAGCCTCAAAAGGCCTGAAGTAAGATGGTTGTTTCCTTCCCTGGCCACCTTTGTCTCTATGAGTCTAACTCATTGATTCAACTCTAGAAGGATGGGAACCTACTGGAAAAGACCTCACCCAACACCACAGGGCTCTCAGAAAGCAGGCAGGGCATAACCTGGATCATCCATCAGCTCAGATGACAGAGATTCTGATGCAGCCTCTCCTCTCAAGCCCTCAGGAACAGCCAACTTCAACCTGCCAGCTTATGGGTGGGGAAAGCAAGATACAGAAATGTTAAGTGACTTGCCCTAAATTGCTCAGCTAACATACTGCCACCAATTCTACCTGACCTCAGAATCCACACTTTTGTCACTATACCAGAGAAGGCGCTAGTAGGTGCTGAGTCATAGAGGTGTTCCAGGGAAATAGGGCCCCCCTGGGGGAACAAACAAAGCCAGAGTCAGGGCTAGAGCCAACCACACCTTTATTAGTCTCTGCAATAGGGCAACTGGAGCCCCTATCTACAAGGGAACTTTAGCAGGCTACTCTGGCTACTGGGCAGGGATGTTAGCATTTCTACTAGTGATTGGGACAGGATGGGGGAGGAGACTAGAAGGGGACCAAATGGGGAGACTGCTGGGCCACCTGCAGGGAGGCACATGTGGGGCCTTCAGGACTGAGACAAAGGTGGACCAGGTCCCAGAGGTGAACACTGCCATCTCCCCAAGAGTGAAGGAAGAGACAAAGCCTGAGATGCTGATAGCTACAGCTATGGATAGGGGGCCAAACTTTTGGGGAACAGAAATGCATTTCTTGATGGAGGCACCAACCTAGGGCGAGTCACAAAGAGAGCTCACCTGCCCCCCAGGAAGAGGACCCCAGGTTCAGCTCAATTGCTGCCCCAGGCACCTTGACATGGAAAACAGGTGCTTTCTGAACACTGAAGGAACAAAGGATCCAGAAATTTGGTAGCTGGGAAGGATGAGGCTAAACTCAGGGAGTGTTTTGGGTTTGGGAATTAAAACAGGCAATATATTCATTATGGTGCAATCATGAAACTTCCCTCCAAAAAGCTCACACCTCCCCCTTAGCCAGCAACCTCCTTAGCCTGAAGGGCCATCATGATCTGACCCCTGCCCACACCCCAGCCCAAATGAACTCCCATTCAATTCTTTGGATGTGCCGTTATGTTCACGGCTCTGCACTCTTGCCAACAACTTTACTCCTAGCCTACCTTCCTCACTTTTTGCCGTCATACTGTCAAAAGACTGATAACTCCACCTTGTAAAGTGTTTGTTTACTCCAGTCTGCCGCACCAAGCTTGGAGCTGCCAGGGGAAAGAACCTGATTCCTGTGTCTCCAGTGCCTGGGCAACTTGAAGACCCATGAGTTGCATTTTCTGTGTCCTGGCGTGTTTGGGGGAAACATATGTGTCTATAACGGATTTCTGGGGTGTCTAGCAGTAGATAAAAGAAATTTGAGCTATGTTTGTGCCTGGGATGATAGCTTCTTCTGATGTGCAGGGTGAGGGTGGGGAGTGGGAGGAACGATCCGAGCCCAGAAGGGGCTAATGGAAACTAAGGGGCCAAGTGGGACAGGGTTTGGATGGTGGAGGGTGGGACCAAGCAGGAAAGGGGTCTTTCTGGTCTACGCGCAGGGTCCAGGGCTCAGAACCAGCAGGGCGACCACATGAGCGAGCCGAGTGCTGCACCTGTGGCGGCTCCCGCAAGCATGCTCATGGCCAGGGGGGCGCCCGCGCTGTAGCAAGGATCCTCCCGGACCACTACGTGCGTCACGCCGGGGCCTGCGGAGAGAGAGCCCGTGAGGACCAGGGACTTAAGAGGAGGGAGCAAAGAGATCATCCGCCTCCTTCTGCTAGACTCCAGCCCAAACCAAGATAAGGCGCTGAGCCCACTCTCCTGCTCCCCAGTCGGAGAAACTGAGGGCTTGATGCGGGAAGGACGCGCGCTCTGTTCCCACGGCTTCTATGCCCTGGATCTGCTACGGACGTTCTGGGACCGTGGGGCTAGGATGGACTGGCGAGGAAACCCCGGGGTCTCTAAGAAACTCCAGACTGCACCTGATGATGGATGGGCCTTCCTAACCGCCAGACCCTGGAGTGAGAGGAGGTAGCCTTTCCCGAATTAGCCACCAGGGGTCGCTACCAGCTCAAGAATGGGTACTGCTGAGCAGCCAGCGAATAGGGGCCGGCCTAGAGAAGAGGTCAGCTCTGGAGTGGGGAGGGGCTCTGGTTCAAGAACCGTTCTGAGTCATGGGATGGGGAGGGGGCCTTGCGGAGGGTCCCACCTGGGAAAATCCATGGTCACTAAAAGGGTGGGGCCTGGCCCCTACTGATAGACCAGGGGCAGGAATTGAGGCAGGGGGAGGGGTGGGCCGGAGACTTACCATAGGTCGGTCCATAGTAGCTGCGGACATATGTGGCCTCGTGACCGTTGGGGGGCACCACCCCATAGTAGTTCTGGTATGGGCTGTAGATGCGCACCTGGGGAGCCCTGCCTGGTCAGCTGCCGGAGAGCTGGGCCCGGCTTTTGTCCCCTCCCCCCCCACACCTGGTTCAGGCCCTTCTGGGCCCACAGAGCCACCACACCAAGTTTACAAACGGGTCCCCAGATACCAGCAAGCTCCTGAAGAAAGACCCTACCTCCCCACAAGGCCCTTGTCCTCTAATACTTCAGCCCCTCCATCCAGCTCCCAGCGATGCCATTTTACTGCCCTGGCTTCCTACCTAGCATTCCCCTGATCAAAAATTCTCCATGGCTCCCTACTTCCTTTGATAGATAGTCTAATATTTGCTAGCAGCTCTCCAGTGATGACACTTGGAGAAACCCAATGGACTTCTCTACTCTCCTGGTTATGGAGAGGGGGGCCTGGGCTTTGGCCAGGAAATAAAAGGGGGTTGTGGAGGAAGGAAGGGAAAGGAAAGGTAGAGGTGGGAAGTAACTAAAGTATTATTAAGCATCCACCATGTTCCAGGTCCTAAGGGAGATGCTGACATGTGTTATTTCCTCTCATCCTTACAGCAGGCATTATTCACTCTACCACACAGCTGGGGATGGAGGCTCAGAGAAGAATGGTCAGTGTTCTCTCTGGGAGGGAGGAATAGACTGTCCGCCCTCTCCCCTCCCCCATTAGATTTTTACCAACCCCTCAAAGCCTAATTCAAAAGTCACCCACTCCAGGAAGCCCTTCTGGCCTCAGAAAGAATCCTTTCTTCCTGAGTTCTCTGTGGACTATGCTTGTGCCTCTTGTTCCTAGCCTTCCTCCTGGCCTTTCCTGCCTGCACCCTGAATGTGAGCTGCCTATCGGCAAGGGCTTTGATTGATTTGTGTTGCCAGCAGGGCCTAGGGAATAGCAAGGACTAATAAATATATGCTGAATTAAATGGAAGCTCTTAATCCAAGACCCTCATTTTATCCATGGGGAACAGACTTGGAACAGACTTCTTAGCCCCCTTGCACCTTATATCTCTAACTGAGCTTAACACCTAAATGGTCCAGGTGGTCCCTTAAAAGTCCAGGTGTCCAAACTTAAACCATCTCAAAGTAATTTCATCATCCTTCGATCCCCCCAAACCTGCTCTTCTGTGAATGCTTTCCTCTAAACACCAGCACCATGCACTCAAACCAAGACATCAGGTTGGCACCGCTGTCTTCACACACATCTTCCACATCATATTAGCCACCAGATCTCATGATTTTATCTTCTGAATATGCTCTTCTGTCCATCCTCTTGCCCAGTGCCAAGAGAATAAGCCACTGGTTTATTGGAAATTGTGGGCGACCTTGAAAACACTTTTCAGAGGAGTGGTTGGAGGAAGAAGCCAGACTATGGAGGACTGAAGAATGGTTGAGAGAGGAGGGATGGAATCAGCATGTCATGACATCTCTTTTAAGAAGTCTGGCTGTAAAGGGGAGTCCTCCAACCATACCTGTGATTTCAAGTATCCATGCCATTTCCCTTTGAAAGGGATTCCTTTCTCATCTTTTTAAATTCAACTACCTAACCTGTCTTTTAGACTCAACTCACATATCACTCTCCCTGAACCTCAGGTTCTGTTAGGGTCCCATCTGGGCACCCACGGCCCTTAGACTTCCATCATCATAGCACCAACCACACTCTATGGTGTCATTGTTGTATCCCTGTGAGGTGTCTCCTCCATCAGACTTGAAGAAAACACCTCCTGCCCCCAACAAGGGCAGGGACGGGGTCTAATCAGGCCTGACTGGAACATGGTAGGTGCCTAATGTATTGAATTTATCTCAAGTGAGTCAAATACAGGGTCAGACTGGAACTAAGGTCACCCAACTCTAAGTCCAGTTTCAAGTTAGGTACAATGACCAGACCCAGAGCAATGCAAGAGGCTCAGACAAACAATGCTCAGTCTCAAGTGACTTCCCTTACTGTGCTCCTTCCCCAAGGGTGATCCAATAGGGCTTTCTGGTAGGGGTGACCAAGATCTGAGCTCTAAGCCTGGAGGGGCTAGAGAGATCTAAGCACTCAGAGCCCCAGTTTTACTGGTAGGGAAGTTGAGGTCCAGAGCCTATATCTGCCCTGCACTGTAAGCCGGTGGGCCTGTCCAGGCCCTGGAGAAAGTAGAGAGCACCATCTCATGTCTCTGTGGGGCACCTGTTTCTACCCTCCAGGCCTAAGAAGCCCAGAGGCAAGCTCATGTGGGTCACCTGGCAACGGGGCAGGGGATTCCCCAGAGACCTCACAGAATCTAAGGGTTTGATCCAGATCCTCTCCCTCTCCAGGCCCAGCCCCTTTTGTAGGTGGGGACAGGGTCAATCAGGAGGTCACATGCAAATGGACCCCTCACCTCAGAAAAGCTCAAGTTTATAGCTTTTAAATTCAATTTTTAGGCATCCCCACTTTAAACAAACTTTTATCCTAGTTTGGGTATGGGGGATGCCTCAATGCTGGGCTGGGAATCCCAGCCCTGCCACTGATGAATTAAGTGACCCCGGTCATGTTATGTAACCTCTCAGAGCTTTAGTTTTCTCATCTGTAAATGAGGACAGTCTTTCCTACACTGCCCACTCCCAGGGCACAGTGAGAATCCAGCAGAACTATGTCTATGCATCTAGGTGGTCCTAGCACTTCTGGGCTCAGTGGTTCTGCACATCAGAATCGTCAGGAGAAATTTTTTAAACCATAGATTTCCAAGGCCCCACCCAGAACTACAAAATTAGAGCATCCAGAAGTAGGATCTGAACATCTGAATTGTTCTTAAGTCCATAAGCGATTCTAATGCACAGCCACATTGAGCACCACTGTGCTAGCTGACCACAGGTACTCTAACCCAAGCCCCCTACTGTGCCCACCCCAGGTCAGGCTGAGTGCTGGAGACAGAGAGGGGATTCATCCCCAAATCCTGCTTTCCAGAAACACTGGGGAAAGGGGTGTGTGGCAGGGAGACAGACACGGACTAAATTATAATGCGCAGTAGTGAGGCCATAACAAGAGGTTTTTTTACTCCTTCCTTCCTCTCTTTATTCATTCACTCATTTGCCCATTCAGTGACTACTGCTTGAGGCCTACTTGTACCCCACCCTCATGCACCAGGAATAAGAGGGTCAAAATAGACTGTCCCCGGGCTTCCCTGGTGGCACAGTGGTTGAGAGTCCGCCTGCCAATGCAGGGGACACGGGTTCGTGCCCCAGTCCGGGAAGATCCCACATGCCGGGGAGCGGCTGGGCCCGTGAGCCATGGCCGCTAAGCCTGCGCGTCCGGAGCCTGTGCTCCGCAATGGGAGACGCCACAACAGTGAGAGGCCCGCGTACCGCAAAAAAAAAAAAAAAAAAAAAGACTGTTCCCATCACTGAGCACTCATTGTGCACCAGCTGTATACCCAGCACTGTGCCAGGTTCCACAGGGGCAGAGCTGACCTAACCTGATCCTTGCCTTGAAGGAAGTTCCAGGTCTCCTGGGAGAATAGAGACAAAAATATAGGAACTAGAAATCAGGCAGAATGAAGACAGGACTAAGCACTAACGCAGTGGGTTGTGGGAGGGAGCAACAATGTGTGGAGGTCTGGGAAGTCCTCCCTGAGGAGGTGGCAGCCTTCGAGGTGCATCTTAGAGGATAAGCATCATTTTGTCAGGAAATTAAGGGTCTTTGCAGCAGATAGAGCAGCACATGCAAAGGCTGGAGAGACAGAAAAGGTTGGGCATAGCTGGGAGCAGGGGGTTGAGCAGAGCAGTTGGAGCGCAGGGGATGAGGGGGATGAGGTGGGCAAGTCTGGCCCAGGCCAGATTCCGAAGGCCTTGAAAGCAGAGCTGTGGTTGGTGTCCTATGAATGATGGGGAGCCATGGAATGTTTGTGAGCAGGGAAGGGATGTGACTGGGCCCACTGCTGGAGGCACATCCTGGTGCCAGAATGGAGGCCGGGAGGGCTGAGCCAGCACTTACCCAGATCCGCCTCTCAACATTACAGGGGCTCCACGAGCAGGTCACACACCTGACCTTGGGGCAAACCCGGCGGCTCCTGGGAGGGACGGTGGCTCCAGCTGGGGCCTGCTTAAGCCACAGAAACCCAAGAAGGGGAGGGAGGCGGGTGTCAGAGGCCCTCTACATCTGGAGAGACTCAGAGCTCTTCACAGGCCCTAGCAGAGCCCTCTGCCAGCTGGGCAAGGGAAGGGGGTATCCTCTTCTTCCCCAGCCCATGGTAATGGTGGGAAGCTCAGAAGGGGTGGTGATTTTGCTGAAGTTACACAGAGAAGACGGATCAGTAGTGTCTCTCCAGAATAGCCCACCTTCGCCTGTTTCAGGCTGCTGAGGCCCCCAGTCTCCAGGGAGGACAGTACAGCTCTGATCTGCCTGCCCACCCACCTGCACCCAGCACTGGCCCCACAGCCTTGCCCCTGACTGTGCCCCCGGCCCTGTGTCAGGGGCTCCTCCTGGAGCCTCCACCCAGAGTGGGGTATAAACCTGCAGGATGTGGAGGGACAAAGCACAGGTCACTACAGGACAGACAGACACAGGCATGAACACTAAGAGATGGGCAGACACTAGTACAAAGACACAGAGGTACAAACACACCCAGTTCGAGCAAGCCTAGGGACCAGAGGGATGCGCGCGTGTGTGTGCACGTGTGTGCGTGTGTGCATATGTGTGTGTAGAGTGGGGGGAGGTGGAGTGGAGGGTCAGAGTAGAGAGATTTAGGAAGCAGAGCAGCAGGAAGGTGGATAGGCAGAGAAGACACAAGGCAGCTTCATAGAGTCACAGAGTACAGAACGGTCAGCCCTCACCTCCTTCCTCCTGCCCCTCTTGGGTGGGACTGGTCTGCCCTGCATAAGTGGGTTTGGAGCTCAGAGCCAGGTCCCTCCACCCTGATGACCACTGCCCCAGCCTCCACCCAGAAGCCTGAGTCTGCTCCAAAGCCTGACCACAGCCCCCCTGCTTAATGCCCTTTATTGCTCCCCACAACCCTCAGGATAAAGTTCAGTTCCTTCACCTGGACTTCGAGGCCGTTTGTGACATGGCTCCTCAGAGGTCATGTCTCCTATTTCTTTCCCTCCACACCTTACCCTCCAGCCAGGCCAGACTCCTGGCCTTTAGACACACATGTGTGCATATACACACTTGCACATACCACTTCCCCACCTCTGCTCGTGTAGCTCCTACTGCAGTTAGTGCCCTTCCCTCAGAGTCTCACTGACCTAGGTTCCAGTGCAGGCTCTTCCACTGACTTAAGACGATGAGACTTTGGACGAGTCAATTCCCCTCTGAACCTCAGCTCCCCAGCTATAAAATGGGACTAAAAATACCAACCCCTACCCCTTCTTATTGAAGAATAATGATACAACCAATGCCGGGTGGTCAAGCACAATGCCTGGCCCTCAGCAGGTGAACGCCTGAGGGAGTTCCTAAATGCATCCCAGTCTTCCCTGCTACTTCCCAGCGGACTTTTTTTTTCTAGATGAGAAGGAGCTCCACCGTGCCACAGGTAGAAGGAGCAAGCACAGAATCTGGGGTCAGGCAGATGGGGGTTGAGGCCAAGCTTGGCCACCCGAGCTCCTCAAAACCACGCCTTTGGGCAGCTCCTCAAAACCATACCTCCATCAATCACTAAATTCTGTTGCTTCTACCTCTTAAGTGTGTCTTACCCTCATCAGCTTGTCTCTGCCAGCAAGGCCTTAGTCCAGACCCACAGGCGGTCATCTGCACACTGTCCCAGCCTTCTAACAGGTCTCCGGGCATCCACTCTTACCCTCTACAATCCATTCCCTACCTACCAGCCAGACTATCTTTTTAAAACTACAAGTCTGGTCTGATATGCTCATGCCGTTCCTCTGCTTAAAAACTTTCAGTGACTTCCCAGTATTCTTAGCTGAAACCACTATCCTTAACAGAGCTTTTAATGCCTGGCTTTGCTAACCCTCCTTCCCTCACGGCTCTCTCTCTCCCTGAGATCCAGCCACCCCAGCCTTCCTTCTGTTCTTCAACTTGCCAGCATCATAACCCCTCTCAGGGCCTTTGCACCTGCAGTTCCCTCTGCCTGGAAAGCTCTTCCCTTCACCCCACCCCAGCCCTTTCACCCAGTTGATTTCTGTTATCCTTCAGGTCTCATCTTAAGCCTTGTCTGGACTCCCACCTGGATCAGGCCATCAAGGTGGATGCACATTGAATGCACTGCAGTGGAATCACTAACTCTGTAATTTGTGACTTCACGTCTAGCTCCCCATTAGGCTGAGTCCAGGAAGGCAGGGCCCACATCTCCTTAGCTACCCTCTGATCCCTGGTCCTTGGCACAGTACCTGGCACATAGTAGGAACTCAGTAAATATTTGTTGTGTGGATGAATAAAACTCAATCTTATCATCTGCAGAGAGAGAACAATAATCCCAACCTCACAGGACGGTTGAGGGGAGTAGCTGGTACTGTAACTATATCACACCTGACACATAATACTTGCTGGACAAAAGATAGTTCCTTTCCCCCTGCTCACATGCCACCCCCTTCAACAAGCCTTCTTGGAGGCCTCTCTCTCCCTCTTCCAAGCACCAGTTGGATGTCTTCTGTCCTTTTCCACTCGGGACTCAGTCACTCACATATATGGAAATTTAGAACTGCTGGCTGGCAGAGACCGAATCTGAGTCACCCATGATTCCATGGCAGGTAGGGGTGGGGAGGAGACAGGGAGGGAAGGGGGCTCACCGGGGTGGAGTTCGCCTCCAGCAGTGCCGTCTTCCATGCTCTGCAATGCAAACCCACCAGACCATGAGGAGGGAGTTCAGGAGAAAGGAGATTGGGCCCCACATTTTAGACTTTCCTCCCCAGCCCAGCCTCTAGCCCTAGTCTCTTGTGAAGGGGGAGATCCTCTTGACTCCCTTGGGTAGACAAAGGTGACCCCCTCTGCTGCTCCAGTCACATAGACAAGCCCTCAGCTGAGCTGCAGCCTCCTCATGCATTCTTAGTCCATCGTCTCTTTCCCTCTAGAAATTCCGGTTTCCGCATCTGGACAAAAGACAGCTGGGCTTGGGTGGTCCCTTAGGAGTTCAGATTCTGACATGCCTAGGCTGCTGGTTCTCTGGCTGCAACCCACCTCCACATCCCAAACCTACAAACTCAGTTCCCCAATGCTCTGACCCCAGAGCCCCGGGAACACCCAGTGGACACCGGACAATTGAGCCTTTGTTGGTTGCCATGGCACCTGGCTGGGGTGGACAAGGCGGCTCTGTGCTTTGTCTACCCCGAGCTCAGCCTCCCCTACTCCCACACATCCCATCTCTTTCACTCTGCTGTAGCACAAAGGCCAACTGATCCTCCGCCAGAGAGTGGGAAGGGCAAGAATGTGAGTGAGGAAGACACGCCCCGTCTCTCAGTGTGGATCTGCATCGCACATGGGGGGCCCGCGGGCTGCCTCTGTTAGGCAGGTTAGGGTCTATCCCTCAGATCAGAGTACCCCCGGCCCCAGGCCATCTTCTAGGAAGGGAGTGAGAAGGAGGGCCTCTGAGGATGCCATGGGGCTGTCTGTTCCTTTGTATCACCCCCAAGCGAGGGCTCACCTCAGAGGCTGCTAGATGCCCAACTCTGAGTGACCAGGGACCACACACCTGAGGTAGGTATGCACACCCCTCCCCCAACAGTCCTGAATTCATCCCTAACCATATCAGTTTCCTGGATACCATGCCAATCACCATGAGCCTTTCAAATCCACTCTGCCCAGACTCCACTGAGACTACCCTGCTCACTGGTCTTTGTCCCCTTTTCCTACCTTTAGGGAACTAGAGGCCCAATGAGGAGGAGGCGTCTGGTCATATTCCTCAAGATCCCACCCCATCCTCTCCTGGGAACCACTCACATGGCATCATCCTGGGTCTCTGCACACAGGTACAGGCGGCCACCCTCTCGTAGGTTCACGATCAGCAGGCCATCTCGGCTTCTGCCCTCTGGGGGCTGCACATCTAAAGGCAGACACACATATATGGGGTTTCCACAGGGCACAGGCCCCAGGTTTCCCCAGTAAACCAGAAACAAGAATAGGAATTGACTTCTCTGAGTCCTTTTTATTGGCCACTGCCAACATCATCTGATCCCACACACTTTCCTTGGGATTCTGCTCAACTCTTTAGACCCTTCCACCTTTCCACATTGCCTGCTTCTCTAGTTAGGTATATCTATCTCCCAGTTTCCCTGTATAATTATGGCCTGAGCCTTGATCAAGGAGATTTGCTGTGTGACTTTGGGCCAGTTACTTATTTTCTCTGAGCCTCCTTATTTCATTTCATCTTTTTCCATTCCTAGCACGGGAGAGGGCAAGAACTGTGTCTGACTCACCTCTGTGAACCCAGCATAGGGCCCAGGTCCAGCACAGAGTAGGAACTCAATAAAGAACTGATTTCTTAATTCACACCCACATGAATTGGAGGTGATAGAGGCCCAGAAGCAATGTCTATGGAAGGCCTCTGAAAGCCGCAAAGAGCCTTCCACCTGAGAAGAGCAGGTGTTCTCAGGCAGACACAGTGTGGGGGCCGTGGCCATAGTCACAGTGCCAGAGAGAAAGGGGCTCTGCTTACCGTGGCACTCTTGGCCTATCTTTATGTCTCGGACGTTGAAGCGGATGAGCACGCGGTCCTCCTCATCCTGTGCAGTCTCATCTTGGTAGTAGCCCAGGGTTCCATCCAGCCACAGGGCAAACCAATTCCGCTTCCAGCGGCGGAGGATGGAGCCTGTGCGATATTCCAGAGCCTGCTGGGGGGCAGGAGCCCTGGGTGGGTTCCCAGAGTCCCCTTATCCCCGGCCCCCAGTGTTATAACCACCCCGTCCTTGCCCGTCTACTCCCTGAAATGATGGCAGGGCCTCTCTCTGTCTTGCTCACCCATTGCCTCCCACTGGGCCTAACACATAGTCAGGGCTCCATAAATGTGCTGAATGGTAAATGAATGATCAGATTCTTTCCTTGGGGGAAGCTGGAAATCTTTTTTTTTTTTTTAAGTGTCACAAGACATGGAGCACCTCCACAAATTTAAATTCATGTCCAATTGAACATTTGTTTCTATATGTACAGTTTGTCAGAGAAAAAGCGTTGTTTTTGTATGAATGCAGAATATGATTTATGCAAGAATTAACAAAACAACTAGTCATCAAGTGCTTGCCTTAAGGAAACCCTTAGTTTCCACTGCATCCATTCTGCTGAGGGGTGTACAATTATTGCTTATAATTGTGAGCATACTTGAAAAAAAAAGGCCAAGCCCCAGGTGACAGTCATTTGTGTAGTGTCTGCCTCTTCCACCAAATGGGGAGCAGAGGGATTGGCCATAGCTCACCTCACCTGTCCCGGCACCCAGCAGGACCTGGACTCAGTGTTTGCTGAACTGAATGAAGTGAGTACGGGTCATAGGGTGTGGGGAGCTCCTAGCCCGGGACAGCTCTGATTCAGATCATGACTCTGGTCAGAGGTGGGTCTGAGCCCTAGCTTTAGACATTTTGTGGCTGGAAAACTTTACAGAAAAGGGTAAAGACATAAGACATCTTCCTAGAGCTTTACAAATTCCAAAGCACGGAGGCATTTTTCATTTTGTTCTGCACCTTGTTCTGTGGCCAGCCCTGGGTATGCGTGCTGTGGACACACAGAGAACTAAACCCAGTCCCTGCAGTTGAGGTGCTCACAGCCTGGAGCCAGTATGAGGTGGGGGAGTGGTGAGGCCCACAGGTAAAGATGGTTATATATTTATCAGGGCTGTAACAGGGGTATGTATGAGGCACTGGGAACGAAGAAGGGGGCCACGAACCCAGCTTGGTGCTACAGCAGGGACTGGGGTGGTGAGGAGAGAAAAGGCAGAGAAGGCTTCTCACAGAAGGGGACATCTGAGCTGGGTTTTGAAGAATAAGTAGTTTACCAAGCAGTCAGGAATGTGAAGGACATTCCGGGCAGAGACAAGAGTATGGACAAAGGAGGGGAGGATAAAAAGGGCATGATTTCTTGGGAGAAGGGTTCACTGTGCAGGTCCAACAGGCCACTTTCCTCATCCCTGCCCCTGGACAAGGTGCAGGACAGATGAGGGCTTGGCCCAGGGTCACTCACTCTGTCTCCACAGCCAGCCGCCCCTCACCAGGGCCATTTCCTCAAAAGGACTTTCCAGGGCAGAGTCAGGCGGAACCTGTCAGAGGAGCCAAAGGACGCACGGGCCTCATCAGCTGCTCCACAGCAGCTCCTCAGAGAAAAGCCCCCACCCCTGTCGTCCCTGGGGGAGCCACCGAGGAAACGTTTAAAGGAGTGTGAGTAAACAAAGAGGGCAAGCCTGTCTGTCTCCTTCCCATTCTCTGCTCCAGGCACATAATCGGAGCACTGTGCTTGTAGGGTCAGCAGGGCAGCCACCCACTGCGCTGGGGTGGGGCTGGGGGTCAGAAGCCTGGATTCCAATCTCAGCCCCATAACCTTGACCAAGTCCCTTCTCCCTGGCCTCCACTTCCAGATCTGTAAAAGCATGTCCATCGGGCAGGTAGAGACTGAAGTGACGAACTCTTAAAATGTTAGAAACCCTGGAATTTTGAAACACTGGCAGCAGAGAATATTAGAATCATGGCAATGAATGAGGGACTTTCATGATAAGAAAAGCCTCCCTCACATTTGAACCCCACCAGAGCCATTTACAAAGTGCATAAAATAATAGTTCAACAGCAACTATGATTGATCGAGCACTATGTGCCAGGTATACTTCTCAAGTGCTTTCATCTAGTATCTCGTTGAAGCCCCACAATAATCCTTGTTATTCCCAGGAAACTGGGGCCTGGAGAGGTCCAGGCACTTTCGCAGATTTGCTTGGTTATTAAGCAGTGGAGCCAGGATTCACACCCAGCAGTCCTGGCTTCTAACCATTATTCTGGTAGGAGCTTTTAAAACTCCTGATACACAGGTCATACCCAGTAATAATTAAATCAGAATATCTGGGGGCAGGAGGTAAGCACTGATAGTCTTCCAAGATACCCAGGTGATTCAGTGTACAGCAAAGTTTGGGCCCCACTGCAACTCTATTGAGTACTTTACTAGATGGGTAGGATCTTTCCTCCTATTTTACAGATGGACAAACTAAGCTATAGCATGTGACTTGTCCATGTGTGTGACGGAACTTGGATTGGAATCCAGGTGCCCTCTGTTCTTGAGCGCGGCTTACTTTTGAGCTGGTGCCTTCGCCCCTCCCCCCACTAGCTCACACCTGTTGCTGCGCAGCAAGGGCTGGCTGGAACACCTGGGTTGGAAGGCCCGGGCTTGTCCCTGCTTCTCTTGCTGCTCCCTCCCATCTTCAGGCTCAGACACAGGTCAGATAAGACGGCCAGGTGCAAACTCCCTCTCCAACCCCCCTTGATGCACCCACCTGTCTACACCTGTTGCGACGCTGCTGCCAAAACGGCCGCTACTTGGTGCTGCGGCCTCCCAACCCGCTGCGCCTGCGCTTTGTGCGCCCCAGAGCGCCCGGGGCTGTTCACTCCCTAGGCTGCGCCCGGGGTCTAGCTGCCTCGGGCCCCGCCCTCCGGTCCCGCCCCGCCACCGGGGAGGGGGCGGGGCGTGTAGAGATGTGCGACAGGAGGCCTTCTGGGACTTGTAGTCTGCAGGCCTAGATATGGGTAATCAATATACAGCCTCTCGTGGGTGGTAGCCCTGTGCCCAACCGGAGCACAGGTGAGAGGCCGCACCTGCGATTTTATTTTGCTATTAAGTCATTATTTTGTTCATTCATTTATCATGAAATACTTTTTTCCCAAGAATCTTGACCTCTAATTTTCTAGAAAAATGTAAATTACGAGGAGAAACCAGGCTCCTAGCTTTGCCATGTTTTCTTGATACTTAGTTTGTGCCTGGCACTGGGCGTTAGTGGAGGGCATAAAAAAGCATCCGACAAGGCCCTTCCTCTTCTTTTCCCAGCTTCCCGTCTGGTGGAGGAGACAACATAAACACACAATTAAAGCACAGGGTATGGTTTGACAATGGGAAAGATGACTCTGACTTTGACCAAGAGGTTCAGGAAGGCTTCCCAGAGGAGGCTGAAAGAGGTCTTGAAGGATGAGTATGCGTGTCCAGTATTTCAGCGTGTTTGGAAAGTAGAGTGCAGGGGTGGGAGTGGGGAGGGCATGGGGATCAGCAGGTGATGAAGCTGCAGGGGTTGCAAGGATATAACATGAAAGTCTTGGATGACAGGCTCAGGAGCTTGGGCATTATGACATAGTGACTGGAGCTTGGGCTTGCGGGTTTCAAGGTGAGGAGTTAGGTGGTTCAATTTATGGGTTGGAAAGGTATTTCTAGGACAGTCAAAAATGGATCGAAAGGGGCCCAACTAGAGAAAGAAGACTGTTTCTCTATCTACCACCACAGTCTGTTCCTCCAGGATCATTTCCTTGAATAGCTCAGCCCTACAAACCCCCACCTAGGAGCAGACCCAGGATGTCATTCAGAGGATAGAGCTTGTCAGGGCCTGAAAGATCCCTTGAGAATGGAACCCACCCTGCCCTGGGCCCTTTCTCCTGTCCCAGAGATCTCTTTCTTACCGGAGTTGCAGGGCTCATGGTTCCAGGGCGGCCAGAGCAGCATGTCTCAGAAGGCTCCTGCAGGGGGACATTTCCCTAAGCGCCTTGGAGATAAGGGGATCAGGAAGGTGCTACCAAGTGGAAACCGGAAGGGGGTGTCAAAGAGAGGGGGCACATAGATCCTAGAGAAAGCCGTCCTTTCTCTCCAGTTCCAGGCCCACCTACTGATCCCCTATTTGACCTTCAGTTCACTGGATAACAAGTCATCTGTGATTCTGAGGTGGTCTTGGACTAGCATCGCTCAGATTCCCGGTGGGGGGCGAAGCCAGCCCTCCTCCCTCGGTTGGGGGCAGGGCTCAATCCTCCTCCAGCCGGGCTTGACCTGCCATTACCCCAGTCCTGGATGCACAGCTTGGCTCTTTAAGCTTCCCTGTCTTGCTCCTGGTTTTCTGTAATCCTGACCTCAAGCTAACCCGGTGCCTCGGACCTCCATGCAGTGCGTGCCTTGCTGGGGGATCCGCCAGGGCTGATCCTGTCTGCCTCTGAGCTCATCCCCTCCATGCAGCCCCAGGAATCAGTTCTCCTAAACCATGCTGTTTTCCATCCTTGTGACTCTCTGGAATGTCCCACCCCTACCTTCTCCAGACTACAGTTGCCGCTGCTACTGCAGAAAGATGGAAAGGAGGGAGGGTAGGGTGGAGCTGGCCTCAGGGAATCTGGGTGCTGCCCCTCTTCCCTGCTCTCCCTGCTCCCCTTGGTGGCTCCTTCAAAGAGGGATGGGTCAGGGGAACAGTGCAGAGAGCTCCCAGATGACATTCTCCGGATTTAGTAACAGATGGAAAGAGAAGATTTTCCAGCATCAGTGTGGAATTCAGGGAAAGGTCTCCCCACTCCCCAACCAAAGATGGGGCGCTATGACGAGAAAAAAGGGAAAGGGGAAAGGATGCTTGGCAAACTAAAACCACAGATGCCACTACAGAATCTAAACGCAGCATGACCTGACATAAATCTCTAAAATGTTGGTCAATGACCCTCTTTGAGAAGCTGATAAATGTTGTAGACGCTGCCCAAGAAAAAATACACACACATCACATTTTGCATATAATTCCTGGGGCTTCATAGACCCCTGAAGCTATGATGATTACTACTGAGATTGTTTTTAATCTTCGCAGCTGTGCAGATGGGTGAGAAGAGTGTGGATTGACAAGTGAGAAGTGCTGAAAGCATAGTAGGAAACAGCTTCAGCAGTACTGGCTTTGAGAGGCTGTTTAATTAACTACAATGTATTGAGACCAACAAGCCAACAAGTTAACTTTTACATTTCTGTTGTAACTGTAGTACATAGAGCCATTAGCAGAGAGAAAAGTATTTTGCTATTTCAAATGTCTCTGGTGGATGAACAGCTCATGGATAATATATTGTTTAGAGAATAGTGGGCTGGCTTATCAAATTAAAATTTACTGCTTACATTTTCTAGAGAGTATAATATAATGAGAATAACTTACATTATCTCCATTTATCAAAAAATTCTGAAATTTATATCAAAATGCAACTGGAGCAAAACCTCTTATGTAAAAGTTTAAAAATAATTTTAGTGAGATATAATTTACATACTACGAAATTCACTCTTTTAAAGTATACAATTCACTGTTCTGATATATTCACAAAGTTGTGCAACCATCACCACTATCTAGTTTCAGATCATTTTCATCACCCCAAAAAGAAACTGGTATGGCCAGGCCATTCAAGATGGCTGTTCTCTTACTCTGTGAATCCCCTGCAGGACCGGTGCCTGCTTCACCTAAACCCTACCCAAATGACTGACCTTCCTACATACTTGCCCCAGGCCCCAGCTGGTAATTGTTCTTATCAAAGAGGCAGTGATACTGGTTTCCCTGGTAACTAATGAGCCCACCTGACATCAATTCCCCTATAACTGGTAATCTTCCCTTACCTTGGGAACGAAGACTGCCACCATATCCTGCCCGCCATCTGCCGTGCATAGTGGGGTGTCACTCCAGGACCTTGCTTCGGACGTGTAAGCCCCCCCATCCATTAAACCATCGATGTCTCTGTTGATGACTTCGGGCTCTCTGTTCAGTCTTGAAGCTGGGCAAGCACAGGCCTTGTAGGCCTGTGGGGCGCAGCCCAACAAAACTCTGTATCCTGGGACTTACCTGGCAGTGCAGTGGTTAAGACTCTGCGCTTCCACTGCAGGGGGTGCGGGTTCGATCCCTGGTTGGGGAAATAAGATCTCACGTGCCATGTAGCCCAGCAAAAAAACACAACAAAACAAAACTCTATATCCTCTAGCAGTCACTCTCAATCCCCTTTCTCCCCAGCCCCTGCCGACCACTACTTTGTATGAATTTGCCTATTCTGAACATTACATATGTAACCTTTCATGATTTGCTTCTTTCACTTAATGTTTTCTAGTTTCATCCATGTTGTAGCAGGTATCAGTACAGCTGACCCTCTGTATCTGCGGGGAATTGGTTCCAGGACTCCCCAAAACACACACACCAAAATCCTCGGGTGCTCAAGTCCCTTATATAAAATGGCATAATATTTGCATATAACCTACACACATCCACATCCTATACTTTATTTTATTTTTTTTAATTTATTTCATTTTATTATTATTATTTTTTGGCTGTGTTGGGTCTTTGTTGCTCCGCGCGGGCTTTCTCTACCTGCGGTGCGGGGGCTACTCTTCGTTGAGGTGAGCGAGCTTCTCATTGTGGTGACTTCTCTTCTTGTGGAGCACGGGCTCTAGATGCGTGGGCTTCATTAGTTGCAGCACGGGGGCTCGCTAGTTGTGGCTCACGGGCTCTAGAGCGCAGGCTCAGTAGTTGTGGCGCACGGGCTTTGTTGCTCTGTGGCATGTGGGATCTTCCCAGACCAGGGCTTGAACCCGTGTCCCCTGCATTGGCAGGCGGATTCTTAACCACTGTGCCACCAGGGAAGCCCCACACATCCTATACTTTAAAATATCTCTGGATTACTTATAATACCTAAAACAATATAAATGCTGTGTAAATAGTTGCAAATACAATGTGTTTTTACAACTACGTAAATTTGCCTTCCCTAGGCAAATTCAAATTTTGCTTTTTGGCACTTACTGGAATTTTTTTTTTTTTTTTGGCGGTACCCGGGCCTCTCACTGTTGTGGCCTCTCCCGTTGCGGAGCACAGGCTCCGGATGCGCAGGCTTAGTGGCCATGGCTCACGGGCCCAGCCACTCTGCAGCAGGTGGGATCTTCCCAGACTGGGGCACGAACCCGTATCCACTGCATTGGCAGGCGGACTCTCAACCACTGCGCCACCAGGGAAGCCCTGGAATTTTTTAAAATATATTTTTGATCTGTAGTTGATTGAATTCACAGGTGCAGAACCTGCTGGTATGGAGGGTTGACTGTACTTCATTTCTTTTTATTGATGAATAACATTCTATACCATGTTTTATTTATCCATTCATTAGTTAATAGACATTTTCGGTTTCTACCTTTTAGCTATTATCAACAATACTGCTATGAATATTTGTGTACAAGTATTTGGGTGGACATATGTTTTTATTCCTCTTGGGTATGATATTGCTGCATCATATGGTAACTGTTTCACATTTTGAGGAACTGTCAAACTATTTTCCAAAGTGGCTGCACCATTTTACAATCCCACCAGCAACCCATGAACATTCCAGTTTTTCTCATCCTCATCAACCCTTGTCATTGTCTCTCTTTTTGATTACAGCCATCCTAGCAGGTGAAAAGTATTGTCTTGTGGTTTTGATTTGCATTTCCCTAGTGATCAGTGATGTTGAGCATCTTTTCATGTGTTTATTATCCATTTGCATATTTTCTTTGGAGAAATGTTTCTTCTCCATTTTTCAGTTGGATTGTTCTTTATTGTTGTAAAAATTTTTTTAACTTAAAAAATGTAGATAATTTTCAAATAACTTTGAAGAAAAAAAATGAAATGGTCTTGCAGTGTTTCAGAGGTTTGAGTAGAAAGAAGGGTTACTTTCAGGCTCAAAGAACCTGGAAGGTAACTACTTCCATTTCATGGACAGGAATGTCCAGAGAAAAACCCAGCCCATGAGGGAAGATAAGAAGGACAGCAATCTCTTAGTGGAAAGCCATCCCTGAGGGCTTCATCCAGGCTTGTGGCATGGGAAGCAGTTAGCTTTATTTGTTTTATGTCTAGGCTATAATACCCATTATTCAA